CTCAAAATACTTCTCCATAACTGCCCCATAGGTTCTATTTCCACGGCAACTTGAGGTGATGGAACCTATATCGTCGGCTAGATAAATGTACTTCTCCGACCGATATCATGACTCGTCGATTTCATGTAACTAGGACTCAAATGTCCACTTCGTCAAGAATCAAGAACCAAGATTCAAGTTCTTTCAACATCTCTACCGAGATTGCTATGCTAGTTGAGGTCATTACCCCACTAGCTCAAGAATTTCAAGAGCCCCTTCTGCGTATGAGCTGTCATGCTCTATTACCCCAACCATTTCTCCCATATGTCATCGCCTTACTGGTCTGTACCTGTCATACGTCATTATGTCACACCAATTTTGTTCACGCCTCTTGACGTCAGCGCAGGCATTTCGCCCTAGTTGGTTACATCAAATTTTGTCGCCTTTTCATCTTTTGACAAAACCTTCTTCCCTTTCTCTTCGTCTATTCACTTTTTCATTTTCAACTCTCTCTCAAGCTTTCTTTCTCTAAAATCTCTTAAACCTCCATTGCTATTCCTTTTGAGCTTTCTGCAACCATTCCGGTCATCACTTCCGCGAATCCCATTTCGGCGTTTACTTGTTGTTCCTTCGACGCATCCCATTCCAGTGTTTACTTCATCGGCTCCACTCGGTAAGTTCTTGTTTTCTTCTAGTTCAGTCACAGTTTCCCTTTGTTGTTCTTGAACAAATTTCTTTTTCAAACTATTGCACACAATGTAGCTACAAAAATCCTTCCCTAATTCCCTGATTCGTTTGTTGTTCTTTGTGCTCATCTTAATTTTTGCCGTGTTTGTTCATGTTTCTTGTATAACTTTTCTCACTTTGGTGTTCTGGCACTAATATCTCAAATTAACCTTTCTTGTTTTCATGTTTGAGTCTGTCAATGTGATTGAATTGCGTTCTCATGTTCTTGAATACCTGCCCTTGTACCTGTGCTCAATCTGCCAAAGGTTTGATTTTGAATCTTGTTTTTCTATTGAGTACCTACCCTTGTCCATTTCTGTTGATCTTGCATAACATTAGGATTTGGGACTTACTAGAAACATTACTTAGGAAAAAATTAAAAGGAAACCTCCCTTAGATCTCCAGAATCCCTACCATATTGTTCATCAGGGTTTCACCAAGGTCTTTTAATCCATATCGCCCATCTTTCAAATAGTGACCTTGAAAAATTCTCCCTAGTTAAAGTCATGGGTATGTTTAAATGGAAGGTAGACTTGACCAGTAAGTTAGAGTATTTCCGCCAAGAGTTCAACATTTTAGCCAACGTTCAACTCAGGTTGGCTGGAAATGAGGACTCCATCATGCCTGGGAAGACATATATGCTTTTCCCTGTGGTGTCCATCATCGATGGCGGAATCAAAATACCCCTTAACATCTATTTCCTAGAATTTTTACACTTTTATAAACGTAACCTCATGCAATTAGCCATTAAACTTAACCCCGTGAAAATGCTAGGATCACCCTTACTGACATTCAATACTGCTACACCATGTGTGGCCTCAAGTCCACCGGTGGCTACACCTATTACCTCAAACCCAGATCCACCGTGTACAAACTGGTAGCCGACCTCCCAGACTCCAACAAAGGTGCTCGAGATGACTGCCTGATTGTGTTAGGCAATTGGGAGTTTGCGTTAGACAATGATCTTCATTTCTACCCTCTACGCCGAGAAGTCTTTAGGGAAGACGAGGGTAAGAACTTGGTCATCCCAAAGTCCCTTATTCTTAACATTCATGCATATATGTTTTTCTAGTTCTAATGTTTTCTTTGATTTTTGCAGCTCTTCCTCAGCCGAACAAAGCTTTCCAACAGTTCTACGTCCCGAGCAGAGATCTCAAATGGCTCCTGAACTTGCCTATTGAAAAACGCAAGGCCCCCATCCTCTTGAACAAGCCACATCTTCACCTCGCCCAAATTAGGCTTCAACGTTTGATCCCATCAACGAGCTATCCACATTGGTTCCAGCCCAACATCTTCCACCATCTCAACGGCAACGCCGCCGCTGACCTCCAAACATACTTGCAGACAAAACGTGCCTGCAGACAGAACGCGCAGCAGAAGGCGTTGAGATTATGAGGTGTCAGTGTTCGATCCTACGAACCCTCCAATCACCCTGCCACAATCAAATTCGGCATCGGAGTGACTGTCGCCACAACTGCTGAGGAAATAGGACATAAACCAGTAGTAACCGAAGATTTACTTGTCGACTTACCCGATGTTGTAACTCTCCAGTCTACTCCCTCCTCTCAATCCTAGCCAAAACCCAAGGATAAAAGGGTTAAGAAGGCTAAGGCCAAGGCCACAGTCACCCAGATCCCCTTTGATTCTGAGAAGGATCCAGAGGATTCTCTCCCAATATCCAAATTGGCCGATGCTGAGAAGAGGCCAGCTGAGGCTGAGTCATCTGATGCAGCCCCAGCAAAGAAGCCAAGATCCAAAGGCCAAGAGGGTGGGAGTGGTTTCCACCTCGAGGAAACTTGGGTGCTCGAGGTCTTGGTTGGTAACTGACCTCTCAAAGCCAGCAATAGTGCCATAGAGTGCCTCGAGGTTGGCTCTGCCCTATCCATGGCCATTCTTCTTCCGGATGAGATGAACCAGCTCGCCGACTTCAACAAATATGAAACTATGCCATGATGATGCGGCACTCCGTCTTGGTAAGTTTTTGAATTCACATTTTTCCATTAAGCTTTCATATTAATCATTTAGCCAAAATTTTCTAACTTGCTTTCTCTCTTGCAGGCCATCCAGCATGCTCACTCCTATGCGATCAAGGCCAAGTTGGTGAAGAAGGACCTCACGAAGAAGACACAAGAAGCTGCAGGTCTCATTACTTCACTCAACAAGGCTGAGACCCGCATTTAGAGCTTAATGAACAAAGCCAAGGCTGCCCAAAATGCTCAAAGCAAGGCCGGGGAGAAAAGAGAAATTGCTGAGGGTGTTGCCGAGGTTTCCAATGTCAAGGCCACAGCTACTGAGATCAAAGTGGCAGAAGCTGAGGTGAAGCTCAAAGAGGCACTGTATACCAAAGAGGCTAAGCTTAAAGAAGCTGATGAGAAGGCTTATGCGGAGGGGCATGCTGATGTTCAGGACCAGTATAAGCAACAAGTCAATCTGGCCTGCAACAAAGCCTACTACTTTAGCTAGATGGCGGCCCTAAATGAGCTGTCTGTCCCCGAGGACTCGCCTTTCCGCGATATCAGCCGACTTAATGTGGCTTTTCCCCCATCGCTTAACTAATCTGACGATGAGGCCGAATAAGACGAGGCCGACACTGAGGAGGAAGGCGATGCTGACGTCGTTGCTGTGGCCAAGTCCCTAACTCTTAATGATCAAGTACTGGACTTGATTGAAGAAAACGGGGACGTAGTGTCCAAAAGCACCTCACCTAACAAGGTCGGCGCTTCTGAAGCCGAGGTCATTGATGCAACAAAGAGTTTAGACCAAACACTATTAGAAATCGATGCCGAGATAGCGGTTGAAAAGAACACATTGGTCGTCAAGGCCAACTCAACGCCAACTGCCGAGGTGGACCAGCCAGAGAACCATGCTGATACTTAGAATTTTTTCCTTTTCTTTTGGGTTGTACTTTTTCTTTTCTTCTGAATAGTTGTAATCTTCTTGAAAAATCTCTATTTTTGTCGGGCCGATATGCCATTTTCATGTACTTGGACAATTTCTCTTTTCAATGCAAGCCCTGTTTTTGTCTAAGTGTTGATTCAGTTTCTTCATTTATTGTATATGCTTGCTATCTTCTTTGTCTTATATGTTTTCATACTTAGAATTTTTCTTATCTTTCCAAGTCTAACAATTTGGTTCCTTACCTCGGATCAGAGTATCTCGGATTAGAACTAATCAATCATCTCAGATAGTATCTCTAACATTTATCTTGGATAACTTCAACTTGTAAATTTTTTCTAAAAATTTTCACAAGTGTTATACTCACTCATGCTTCCTGCCCTCTAATGTGAACCTAAGTATCACTTATGTTCACAAGGATGTAGCGACTGGTTCTTGCCTAAGTCTAATTTAGACATCCATGACCGAGGTCATCGCGTTTGGCTCACCCAAACTAAACACTTAAGACTTGACCTTAGTGTACTGACAGTACTAGCTATCTCTGCTTTTTGCACAAACTGACCAAAACATGGTTAGTTTCGCCTCGTTCCACTTTGAAACATCAACTCTACCAGTATGGCAAGTCTAACTTAATCACCTTGTTCACCATGAGAACATCGCCTTGTACTTAGTTCAACTCTACCATCATGACAAGTCTAAGTTGATTGCCTTGTTAACCATGGGAACATCGCCTTATACTTTCTCAGTCATATCTCGCAATCACAAATTTCAACATTTTGTAAAACCAAAAATCAATACTAGTATTTTATTAATACTTCGGCTAAAAATCAACTCAAATTACATAGGGAAAGGAAAAACTAAAAAATCAGTGATAAAAAATTTCAGATTATTGGTATTCCAAGGTCTTGGAAATTCCTTGCCATCAGTGTCTTCAAGCCGATACAATTTTCGGTGACCAAGATAATGTGATATGGTCCTTCCCAGTTTGGGCCAAGCTTGCCCTTTTTGGGATCCTTCTTGTTGCCGAGGACCTTCTTGAGGATGAGGTCTCCAATCTGAAACTCCCTAGGATAGACCTTCTTATTGTATGCCCTGGTGAGTTGTTACTGGTATGCCCCCAGCCAAATTGTTGCTCTTTCTCTTCTCTCCTCAATTAGGTCTAGATCTCGGGTAAGAAATGCCTCATTTGTTCCGTTCTCCACTCCCTAGGTTCTAATCCCAGGGATGCCGATTTCCAGTGGAATGACAACCTCTATGCCATAAGCCATGGCGAAAGGAGACTCACCAATAGATATTCTTGGCGTCGTTCGATACGCCCATAGAACATTGGGCAGTTCCTCCACCCACTTGCCCTTGGCAGCTTTTAGCCATTTCTTGATTCCATCCAAGATTGTCTTGTTTTACTCTTCGGCTTGACCATTACTTTGGGGAAAGTTGGGAGTTGAGTAGTAGTTCTTAATCTTGTACTTTACACAAAAGTTTTTGATAAGCTTGCTGTCAAACTTGATACCATTGTTTGCCACAATGGCTTTGGGGATCCCAAACCTGGTGATTATGTTTTTCCAGATGAAGTTTTTCACATCTATATCTCAAATTTTGGCTAGAGGTTCGGCATTTACCCATTTTATAAAGTAATCAATTACTGCGAGCAAGAACTTCCTTTCTCCAGTTGCCTGGGGCAATTACCTAACAAGATCCATGCCCCATTGGGCAAATGGCCAAGGTCTAGATACTGGATTCAAATCTCCAGCTAGCTAGTGTATCAAAGGTGCAAACCTCTGACACTTCTCTCACTTCCTTACATTGGCTTCGACATCTTTCTGCACGTAGGGCCACCAATATCCTTGTGATATAGCTCTGTGAGCAAGTGATCTGCCCCCTGCATGGCTTCTACATCCTCACGAATCTCATACAAAAAGTCCTCCACTTAGGATGGGTGTACACATCGCAGTAGAGGTCCAGTGAATGATCTCTTGTACAGATGGCCTTCTGCCAACATGCAGAACCTGGCCGACTTTAGTCTGATCTTATGAGCTTCCCTTCTATCTTCTGGGAGCTTGCCATCTCTTAGGAACATAACTATGGCATCCATCCAACTTGGACAACATGCAGAACCTGGCCGACTTTAGTCTGATCTTATGAGCTTCCCTTCTATCTTCTGGGAGCTTGCCATCTCTTAGGAACATAACTATGGCATCCATCCAACTTGGACCTAACTCCATGCACATTGCCACATACTCTGTTATCAGAGGTTCAATACTTGGGCCTGACAAGTAATCCACCATAATTACTCTTGGCTCGCTTGACTTTATAGCACTAGCCAGGTTTGCTAGGGCATCAGCATGAATGTTGTCATCTCGGCTGACCTGCTACAACCGGCAGCTTTGGAATATGCTAGTAACATGATGATGTCCTTGACCTAGGCCACCGTCATTTCATATTGGGCTATGTATTTTCCCGTCGCTTGATATACAATTAGCTGGGAGTCGCAAAAGACTAGCACCTCCTCAACTTCCACTACTGCTGCAAGTTTCAAGCCTGCAATTAGTGCTTCATATTTTGCTTCATTGTTTAAGGCCTTAAACCCCAGATGGATAAACTATTCTATCATTCGTCCATCTGGCGAAACCAAAACTACTCCTACCCCTGCTTCTTGTTGGTTTGAACTACCGTCGACAAAGAGACAGAAGGAATTGCCGATGTAAATGTCACAAGGCTTTAACATCTCTTCACCCTTTTTCTCTCTGACTGGCGTGGGATTCCATGGTCCCAACTAATTTTCTTCAGGCTATCCTAGGCACCCTAGGCCGAGGTTCGCTGGTGTCGGTCTTGGGCAAGTGCCTAGTGTGAATTTAGTAATGAAGTCGGCCAATACCTGACCATTTATTGCTGTCCTCGGCCTGAATTATAAGCCATACTAACCTAGAACTATGGCCCATCGTGTTACTCTGCCTGTTAAGTCCCCATTTTACAGCAGAGACTTTAGTGGATGCTCTGTTAGAACCACCATCATGTGGGCTTGGAAATAATGGTTCAGTTTCTTTAAAGCCATTACCAGAGAAAGTGTCGATTTTTCCAGGGGCAGGTATGTGGTCTCTACATTTGCCAGGGTCTTGCTGACATAGTATACTGTCTTCTACTCTCCTTCATCCTCTTGGATTACGAAGGTACTTACAGCATGGACTGAAACTGCCAGATATGGGAACAACTCTTCTTTTGGTACTGGCTTTGACAACACCGATGTTGTGGTCTACCTTTTCAAATCAGTCAGGGCGACTTCACATTCTTCTGTCCACGGAAAGTTTGTGGCCTTCTTTAAGAACTAAAAAAATGGGTTACAATTACCTGAACTCCAGCTGATGAATATGTCCATGGCTGCTGCCTTGTCGATCAAAATCTAGACTTCCTTCGCTGTTATTGGGCTTTTCAGATAAAGGATGGCCTTCATTTGATCTAGGCTTGCTTCAATTCCTCTTCGGGTTACCAAGTACCCTAGGAACTTACCAGATCCTACCCCAAATGCACACTTTGAGGTATTCAGCCGAAGCCGGTATGCCTTCAATATGTCAAAAGGTTCTTTCAAGTAAGCTAGATGGTCTCTTGGTTCCTTACTCTTGACAACCATGTCATCAATGTAGACTTCCACAGTCTTCCCAATTAGGTGCTTGAACATCTTGATAACCAACCTCTTGTATGTCGCTCCTACATTCTTCATCCCAAAGGGCATTATCCTATAACAGTAAAGTCCCCTGAGGGTGATGAATGTTGTCTTCTCCTTATCTGGGGCATACATTGCTATCTAATGGTATCCTCTATATGTATCCAGAAAGCTTATTCTACCATGCCCTGATGTGGCGTTAACAAGCTAGTCAATCTTGGGCAAGTAGAAGCAGTCCTTCGAGCATGCTTTATTCAAACTCGTGAAGTCTACAAAGACCCTTCACATACCATTTTTCTTCTTTATCACCACCGTATTGGACAACCAGGTGGGGTAGTTCACTTCTCGAATTGCTTGTGGCTCCCGGTCTTCGCTTTCAATCTCTGTTGTCTCTGCTACTCTCGCATTATAGGTGTATTTCATTGATGCCATAGAGTAATTTTTCACCTGTATTTGATCTCCCCTCACTTTTTCAATCCCTTGCTCAGTTGGAAATCGCAACAGTTGGTGCAGCGTTGAGGGAACAACCCTTATTGCATACAGCCAAGGTCTTCCTAGAATGATGTTGTATAAGGAGAGGGTATCTATTAAAGTAAATTTTGTATGTACCTTCTTGCTCCCTACCTGTACCTCCAGACTCGGGGTCCCTACGGGCCATGTCGGCGTGCCATTAAATCTAACCATTGGGCTATCAGATTGCTCTAGATCATCCTTGTGGAGGCCAAACTCCTTGTAACATCTAACGTACATGATGTGACAAGAGATTCCTTGATCAATTAGGATGAGCCTCACTTGGCAATCTCTATCCTTTAATATCACCACTAGAGCATCGTTATGTGAATGCTGTACCATATCTAGGTCCTCTTCAGTAAAAGATATCATCAGCCCCTGATATCTGTTTGTCTTGGGTTTCTTCTGTTGAACCTGTTAGATGTGCTGTAGACGCCTTACCCTCTGAGTCTCTTCTCGAACTTCATTCTCATTGACCCTTGAATGAATCACATTGATTATCTGTGGTGCCTTTGCCTGTGGTGGTTGTGGTGGCGGTGGTGCTGCTGGCACTTGGGCCAACTTCGCCTGCTCCTCTCTTGTTTTTGTTTCGTCAATTAGGTCTTTTAGGTGTCAATGTCAGACCAAATCTTCTTGGTATGACTTTAGAGTTCGGCATTTATGCGTCATGTGTCCATTTTCCTCATGGTAAACACAACGCTTCTCAAGGCTCTTGCCCATGTGTTCTCCCGGGACCTTCTGTGGTGCCTTATAGTATGGCTAATTCCTGATTCTTTCCAAAGATCTTATAGAGAGGGATCTTGAAAACTGCATTCACTGTCTGCATGGATCTCAATCCTAACTCCGGCCTGTCAACACTGTTATTTCCTCAACTTCGCCTCGATGAACCGTTTCTCTTCTCTTGCTTTGTTGTACTAATCTTTTTCGTTTTCTTATTTTCCTTTGCCCTGGCGCATTTTTTGATTCACGCCATTAATTCCTCCATGTTCTTCGGGAGTGTCTTTGCAAGCGACTGCCGAAGTGGGCAATCATCATCTAAGCCATTCTTAAAGGATACACTGTAACTGCAAGTTCCAGGTTACAAGCCAAAATCTGGTTGTAAACCTCATAGTATCTCTTGGCGTAGGCCCTAAGACCTTCGCCATCACTGATCTTCAAAACCAGAAAGGAGTCTACACTCAGTGGCTACAATTTGTTTGTAAAAAACCTAGCCATAAACATCTCAGCCAGGCCCTCCTTACTCTTCACACATCCTTTCAGCAGTTTGTGGAACCAATTTGATGTTATTTCCCTGAATGACGATAGGAACACCTTACATAATAGCTATTCATTTCCACTCTACAAAGCCATTGACTTTAAGTATAAACCGACATGAAAGTTTGGATCAGACTTACCATCATAGATCTGCTACCTTGGCATGTTGAATCTTTTCTCCACTGAGAACGGTGTCTTTGGCTAGACGTTGGATGTGATCTTGGCATAATGTCTTTCCTTTTGGAGGTAATATCTCAGATCCTCCATTGTTCGTCCGGGAGATTGGCTGTCAGTCGGTCTTAGCCTTTTCGGCGTACTGCTTCCGGTGTTAGGGTGCGTTCTCTTGGATCTCTCTACATCCACTGCATCATCAAAATGAAGGCCTTGTCCTTGGATCTCCTGAGATCCCCGAATGTACGTCCCTCTGGTCTGTAGTGTTCTTTGTGACTTCTCTCGCATTAATTCTGATATCTCATGACTGCCTATGTGAATCTCCCTGTCCCTTGGCAGGCTGTAGGACAGTTGGTACGACCTTCTGTCCTCCCTTTTGGACATCGGCCTTAGCCATTAGTGCCAGTGTGTCTTGCAGGGGAAATGCTGGTTGCATCACGTTGTTCTGCATCATGAAGTTGGCCACTGTTTGCAAGTCTGTCAACTTGTTTGTCATGCCAATCAGTTCTCCATCTCTTCTCAAGCACCTATCCTTCCATACCTGGAGATCGCCTTCGTGGTAGTATTCATCTCGACTACCCTTCTTGTTCACGTTTCGGCCCCTGGCAACATTGTTTGCCTCGGGGTTGACCTCTTGTACTTCTTCATAATTGTTCCCAATATTAGGACCCATGTGTTCCTCTTCCTCACTGTAAATGTCATCCCAGATCCTCACTTCCTGTCCGTTGTTGGCCATCTATTCTATACTAAGTTCCCATAGACAGTACCAAATTGTGGATTAGTGTTGATTTCTGACCACACAACCAAACAGGGAACTTAGCTGAAGAGCACGTGGCAGAATAGATTAGGCCAACCACCTGCCAATAAGAAAATGAGAATACCATGGTGGTTCGTCCACTTGGGGGCACTCCAACGATCAAGTCAGTTAAACAATTTCTCAAAGATCTCAAACAAGTACTAAATTCACCAAATAAAGGTGCCACACTTTTATAACCAGTAATGACGTTGTCCCCTTGAAGTCTCACTTCACAGGACTCAAGCACAATGCTCATGTCAGACTCTCAGCTAGATAGGGATAAACTCCACAAGAGCCTTATCCTTATCTAGACTAAGAGCCTCCTCTAATCTAGGACTCTTGTGCGCTATCCTAATATCTTGGATTCTGGCATCACCGCACCGAACCTCGGCAATGCCGCAATCACCTCGACAAACATGACCCGCACACGTGGCACCTTGGTTGACATCTCGAAGGCACCTTGGCTACGTGGCGTCATTCTCAAAATACTTCCCTACAATCCTATATTGGTTTCCAATGATCAACTCTAGGGTGGTTAAGTCAAAAATACAAGAGCCCTTGCTGATATCAATTTTTACCTAGAAAGCAACCAAAGAGAGGGTGAATTGGGTTTTAAAAAAAATTACTAAATTAAATTATTAACCTAAATAATAAATAAATGAAAATATGAAGTAACAAAGATGAGAGTAATAAATTAAAATGTAATCCAAATGAGAAATAATTAAAAACAAATCAAGCGAAAGGAAGAGAGATCAAACAAATAATTTATAGTGGTTCGGCTCAAACCAAGTCTACATCTACTCCTCAAGATCCTCCTTGAGATTTTTTCACTATTTGTCAAATAGTAGTTACACTCATAGCTTCACAGGTGCTACTAAACTTTAATAATTGATCAACCTTGATCACTCCAAGCAATTAGTTTTGAATCCGGTACTAGTCACACCTAATCCAAGTGATTTTATCTCAAAAATCACTCATAAAAATATAACTCTGTTTTACAAGAAAAGGAATAAGGTATAGATAACCCTTTTACAATAAGAGTTCAATTTCTCAATAAATGTTCTCTCTAAAAAAGAATTATATCTCAATGAAAGCACACCACACAATATTTTGAGAACTCTTGAATATCATACAATTTTTTCTTCAATTCTCTACTCTTCTCTTTCGTACTTCATTTCTTCAAGCAAGACACACCTTATATAATCTTGGGGGACTTACGTATAGGTCCTAGTAGATGGACTTATTATTCAATAAGTTTTATGATAATTAATGTCATTTTTTTTTATCAAACACTATTAAAAAACGTCATTAATTGTTAATTTTCAGTATCAGTTTAAAAATTGTCACAAAAAATATCACTAATTATATGTTTTTAGCAATATTTAAAAAAGCAGTCACAAAAAAGTCACTAATTTTCAACTTTTAGCGATAGTTTGAAAAATTTGTCATAGAAAAATGTCACTAATTGTAAGTTTTAGTGACAATTTATAAAAATCGTGACAAAAAAAAGTCACTAATTGTCAATTTTTAGCGGCATATGCAAAAAATCGTCAGAAAAAATTATTTTTAGCAACGATTTTAGTAGGACTTGTTTTCAATAGGATTTGATAAGAATTAAATCCAACTATTAGGACCTATTGATAGTTTACCCTATAATTCTTCAACAAAAACTAGTCGTTGGAGGAAAAAAAAAGGAAATCTTGCATAAGAAAAAGGCAACAACAAATATGTCAAAGAAAGGAATAGTGTGCGAATAGTATTTGAATAGTAAATTTAAAACAAAATCAAGAGTTGCGTCATGAAAATATTATATTACAAAATAGAAAGATATCGTTTGAAAATTTATATATTATAATATATATACATACATATAAAATATAATACAATTACAATTTTTAAAGGATGCATAGTAAACATGTGTCAAAATGATAAAATTCATTTTCATAGTTTGTGTCAAATGATTGCAAACTTTGTAAATTGAAAAATCATAATTTATCAAAAATATGTTAGATATTATCAAAATCAAACCATAGGATTAACAAAAATAAATTACAATTCGAAGAATGTTTTTTTTTTTACAATCAACCTAACAACCTAACAAACCTAGAAAGGAGTTCTAATGCTCAACACCAGGATGCCCCATTGTCTTTGAAATGTTGCATGCTACCTTATCGGTTGAGGGAGAAACTTCGGCTATGTAGGCCCTGTTCCTTTTTCGAGTCTAAGGCCCGTTTCCCACACAAATTGTTGTACCAACTCGCTTTAATAATAAATAGTTGCCACTTAATTTTTAAGGGGAATTAAGAAACCTTTAATAATGAAAACTAAGCTAAGGACCGATCTGTCATAACTAGACATTTGCTAGGTTAGGAGCATAGGTACAAAATGAGAAGGCCATTGAATGATAGCACTCCCTTTTGCCCAATTTGAAGATTGGCCTCTACTAAATTTCTATTCTATGATTTTAGTGGTTAATTATTCATATCAATATTGATTCGATCCAATCTCTCTTATTGAATTGCTCATTCAATGAGCATTCTCAAAATTATGCCTTGAAGAGGACTCAAACCTCCACTCTCTTTAGCACGAGATTTTGAGTCTTGCGTGTCTACCACTTCACCACCAATGCATCTTGAAAGTGAATCGTATTCCACGAATATTATATCTATCTAGTGTGATGTATGGAATATATGACAAAGGTGGGGTGTTAGAGTATTGCTGTTGATTGGTCATGTCATCACATAGGCCTGAGTCGGAATCCAATTGCTTGGATTTGAATTATCCAGAGGATGCCTTATATATAAAAAATATGGACAAACAAACCTATTTCTCGATTCAATAGAAGCCCAAAGAGGTGAATCGGATCCCAAATAAGAAGAGATATGTAAAATGTCCAATTACGTCTATTCTTAATCCTAAATGGAATGTAAGGATCCATATGTAAGCATAGTATCTATTTAGATATGCTTGAATAACCCCTTCTCATAATGAGAATGTATATCCCTATTCCGGTTTGGTCCGGTATGGAATGAACTTATAATTATGGAATCGACTCGATCATCAGATTATAGATTATAAGTTCATAACCCTAGCCTATTTCCATTTTGGACGGAACGAATCT